ATTTTTTTAGATTTAAAAAAAAAATCATGCAGTCTAGCATGGAAACGTTTAGACAGAGACAACTGCTGTTTGGATATTTTTTGTAAAGATGACTTAAAAAATTGAACTCCCTGTCATGAAATTCCTAATCCTCTTTTCCTCCACCTTTTGCTTTTCACTCCCTTTCTATGAAAATCCCTAAAAGCAACGACAACAAAATGTACTGGTGGCGAAGAAAAAGAAAAATCTTGTGGTCATTAAAAATTACACTGTTGCTTTGTTTTTAATTACTTATTTTTACTGTGTTTGTTAATAACCTAGTTATTTCTAGTGACACTTTCTAAGAAACAATCCCTGCTAGTGTCAGATATGTTGCTTTTCCTCCGCTTTTTTTTTTTTTTGAAGTAGTTCAGTGAAATAATAGTAGCAATTGTACCACTTTTTTGTTTTCAAAAACTGCCTAGTTTATACTATTTTGAATGAACTTAAAACAATGCAGGTGCTTTTTCGAGGCAGAACACTTCTAAGATGATCGTGTGGACAAAATATGCCTGCAAGATTAGGTTCATGATGTTGCATATGATGTGTTCTGGGTTTTCCTGCCATGCGACCTGAAGCATAAAGTTTTATCTTCAATTACACTATGGTATTTTTTCTAATCTGAGTTATTTCCTAATGGTTTTTATGTGCCTGTAATGTGTTGTACATGTTTGGTGCTTTACATGCCATATCCATCTTTCAACTCATCTTTATACTTAAGTCAACACTGCTGAATGGGACAGTGACCATTTTCTTTCACTTTCTATTGTATAGGATAGTGATTGCTGTGCAGTTACAATTATATATTTATTGTTTCAGGCTTTCTTGAGTTGTTTTTCTAGGATGCTCTGTGTGTGCTTCAGTTTTACTCATGGGAAACAGTGCACAGGGCATGTGTAAATCTTGCTAGTGCCATTTCTTTTAACTTTTTGGTCACCTGTCCTTGCAAATTTGTCACCTTTAGTTACAAATCCCTTGGAGCAAGGAATAGTTTTACGCATACAAAAATCCTTGAATTCAACTTGGGCTTAACTGGAGTAGAACTGAGTATTCCCTGAAAAAATAAAAGAAATGGAAGGAGGTGCTGACACTTGTAGGAAGATGGGATGTGATGGGATGGTTTAAGGGACAGTTTGTTGGACGTGGTGTCAGGTTTGTTCCGCTGAACTTTCACGTTGAATTGTTGAAGATAGAGACAGCGAGGGCCCCTCTTGATGCTGAAAAACTGTTTGGGAAGATAAGTAGCTAGAAGATAATGGAAAGTCAGAAAAAAAATAATTATAGGGTATTGCAGGTTAATATCTACCTAGAGCTTAGAAGGTCATAATTAAAGGTAGAGTGATTATTATTTTCTTAATTGTTGAATCCTAGTTTCTTCAGTGTTACGTATGTGGACAGCCATCTATCTCTGTCTGTGTTGGTGATAATACTCCTGTGATTCTTCCAAATGACAGCATTTCATCGTGTGTTGTTGAAGGCTTATGAATGTTTTGAGTCATAATTTATATACAGTATATCCTTGCTTTTCATTTTTTTGATTGCACTTGCTATTTCTCCTTGTCATTTGCTCATCCTCTGACTAGCAACTCTACGGATTCAGCAGTGAAAAGCTTTTATAGGGGTGGCTTAAAAAGAACTTGCTTTCTGGCCACAATGAAATAGTGGCATCTCGATGTAGACAGGAAGTTTGGGGATAACAGGAAAAATGCTCATTCTTTTGATGTTTTGCTTTTTTTCCCCTACTCCATGAGAGAGGAGAAAATATGTTTTTCATTATATGTATTTTTATATATAAATAAAAGAGGCTGCAGCTTCTTTTCATATGCACGTATCAAAGGTACACGGCCCATCAAAACAGACGATATTCGAAATTCCTCTTGGTCTCCTGCAGATGCAGCAGTGAAACAGGCTCTCCTTTTAGACTGGAATCTCTGAACTTCTAGACAGACTTGGAAAACTTTTCATCCCATAGGAAATGGGTTGAGATCGGCCACTTGCTTCGCATTGGTTCGTAAGGAGTTACAAGATGACTCCTGATGACTCACGGCCTAGGTTGGATTTGACTCAGTGATGAAAGTTAGTGTATCTCGCTACAAACCCAAACAGCCACCTACTACTACTAAGGGGAATGAGAAGGCAGCTGAGATGGGCTGCTGGAAGAACTTAATCACTGCCCGACAGGCTTTTAGGAAAACTGCTTTGGTGTGAGGGCCTCTTGGGATTGTGTGGCTTTTGCACGCATGTGTGTTCTTGAACTTCAGTCAAGAGAGTTTCTCTAGTGGTGCCCCCTTCCGAATTCCATTTCATGCGTATATTCAGTCTTGATCTGAAGTTGCAGTTAGAATAATATGAGTGTTGCTCAGTAGTGGCAAGTGATTTTAGGAATTTACTTTCTTTGAGGCCATGTTTAAGTAATAATTTGAGACAGCAGAGCTGTATGAGGGTTGTCATCTTGAATGTGGGGAATTTTTCCATGTTCAGTTGATGAAGAATAGTGAAAGCAGCAGGGCTGGAATTGAGTTGTATAGTTCGTTTTGTCCTTGGTGTGACTGAGCAACATATTAAGAACTTACATATAAGTGAACACAGAAGATAAGTCTCTTGGCAGCTGCCCTCATAAAACACCGCTGCTCAAACCACACCGTTTGGTGCTGTGTAAATGTCTGGATTTGATTCTTCTTTTGGCAGGCTCCATTACCAAGGTTTGCCTTCAAGTCACGTTAATGTTCTCCAGAATGATCCTGCAAGCTACGCAAGCAGCAGCCCTCATGTTTTCCCCGAGTGAAATCCTGTTTAAGAGACATTTAATGCTATAGGAAAGATTTGTGTGCCTCTCTCTGGGCAGGTGTGTGCTGCATAAGGGCTACAGTGGTCCAGATAATCCGGTTGTCTGTGCTACAGCTGAAGGCATGGGGAGAGTCCTTGAAGGATGTGTCCCTTGCAATATAATCTATGCTTCTGTTCTTGAAGAACGTTTTCTGATGTATGTTTCATTAAATCTGTTGAATTTTCATGAGTACTTCTGTGTATCGTATCGTACTAGCTGGGGCTTTCCTTACATTAGCAGTGCAGTGACTGTACTCACTCAATGCTCGGATAATTAGGAAAGCAATAACTTGCCAGAATCAAGAGTCTAGCTTGGCTAATTTGTTTTGCAGGGTTTTCTCTGTAGTAAATGGGAGAAGGGATATCTTGGAGGAGGGGATTCAGAACACTTTAATTAATGTTTCTGGTTTACTGTGCCCTTTGAAAATCCCTCTTGGGATAGAGGGAGTACAGAGAGATGGGTTAAGTTAGATGTTGAAAGATGAGCGTTGGAAAATCCTTGTCTTGTATAGAAAAATCCTGAAATCTTCTGAAAGGCAATGTAAGAATTTGCCAGTTCTCAATCTGTTGTAGGTTTTGCTGTCCCTGATAGCCATGTGCCGTACACCCAACTCCAGTTCAGTTAGCACTAGTAATCTAGTGTACTGGCTTTGGGGTTTCTTCATGTGTTGCTGGAATTTTTGTAGTCTTCATTTTGTGATGTTTGCTTGGAAAGAGAAAAATATTTTCACATTACTGAATTTGAAAATGCCAATGCTTAAAAAGAAAATCCAGTTA